GGTGCAGCAAACACTCATACACATAAACTGAAACTAGATAAAACTAATTGGACTAAGAGGGTGGCTGCCATGCTTTCATAAAGACCAGTGTTCGAATCCCCAGGACCCATGTAAAGTCAGGCACAGTAGTCCCTGTCTGTTATCCCAGTGCTCCTAAAGTGAGATGGGAGGGAGAGACTGGGGAGAGCCCAGAAGCTCTTGAGCCAGCTAGCTTAGAGTATGCATCTGCAAACAAAGAAACTCTGGCCAGGCGGAGGTGGCGCACGCCTTTAGTCCCTGCACTCGGGAGGCAGAGGCAGGCAGATCTCTGTGGTTCAAGACAGCCTGGCCTACAAGAGCGAGTTCCAGGACAGCCTCCAAAGCCACAGAGAAACCCTGTCTCGGAAACCCGCCCCCCTAAAAAAAGAAACTCTGTTTCAAACAAGGTGGAAAGCAGGACCAACACCCGATGAAAGGTTCAGGCATTATGCTGTCTCTGGCATGTTAGTGACCCCATACAGGCATGTGGACATACATGTACGCACATACATGGCATGCATAAACGAGTAAATAAACAAACTTATGTCCTAATCATTGTTCTGTGTGTATTGATATTTTGCCTATGTGCCGTGTGTGTGTGTGTGTGTGTGTGTGTGTGTGTGTGTGTGTGTGTGCGCGCGCGCGCGAAAAGAGAACACTTTGTGGGAGTTATTTTTTCCCTCCTTCCACTATGTGGGTCCTGGGCATTGAGCTTAGTAATTCGTCAGACTTGGCAGCAAGAGGCTTTACCTGCTGAGCCACCTCACCAGCCCTAACTTTGTATTTTGAGACTTGGCATTATAACATAGCCCAGGCTGGCCTGGAACTCACTATGTAGTACAGGCTAGGCTTAAGCTCATGATCTTTCTTCTTGCCTTAGCTCTATAAACCCTTCTACCATGCTGCCAGACAGATGTCTGCACATCCTGGATTGTAGCTGTGTGGTGCCCAACACATACATACAGACACACACACACACACACACACACACACACACACACACACACTTGTTTCTAAAGAGGCCTGTTCTAAAGCACACTCTTCCCTTGCTGCAGGTCACAGGAAGGCAGGCCACCTCTCAGGCAGGCGACTTAGCACACACAAACACCTCCACCCCCTCAGTGGCCTTAGGCCACTCTCTCCCTGCTTCTCCACCATCTGTGAGAAGGATATTGAGGGTGTCTGCCTCCCTCCCTGTACTTGTGAAGACACAATGAACCATGTTTGTAGAGTGCCGAACACAGACCCAGTGAAGACCCATCAAAGGTGGCAGTGAGCAGTGAGGTCCAGCCCAAATTCCTCACCCTGCTCTTGGGCATATGCAGAAACTGGTCCCTCCTCTCTCTCCCTGGACCCACCCTTCCCTGCCAAGTGCTTCTCTCTCCCGTCTCTCATTCCATGGCCTAGCCCCACTTAGCTCATGTGTCAGACATCTGGGTCTGCCCTTGACCTCACCGCTGGAACTCTGCAGGGAAGATGAGTGTTCCACAAGTAACACTTATGCTCTAATTGCAAATTGCCACAGGCACTGTGAAGGATGAGACCAGGGTGTCATGAGAGAGGACAGCAACTGGGAACCAATGAATCATCAGGGAAGATGTGGTCAAGGCAGCTGTGACCTGAAGGATGAGGGGGAAACATTCCAGCAGAGGGCAGCAAACCCCGCCCCATCCCAGCAAAGAGAGGGGCCTGTGAGTCACCAAGGAATCATCTTACACATTCCCTCGTGTACCCTCGGGGCTACTCTGCAAGCCAACTGGGTGGGAAAATGTGCGTAAGAAATAGTCAATGCAGCCCAGCGGTGGTGGCGCACGCCTTTAATCCCAGCACTCGGGAGGCAGAGGCAGGAGGATCTCTGTGAGTTCGAGGCCAGCCTGGTCTCCAGAGCAAGTGCCAGGATAGGCTCCAAAGCTACACAGAGAAACCCTGTCTCAAAAAACCCAAAAAAAGAAAAAAGAAAAAAAAAGAAATAGTCAATGTGAGGGCTGGCAAGATGACTCAGTGGATAAGAGGCTAACTGCCAAACCCGAGTTCAATCCCAGGGCCCCCCAAGTGGTAGAAAGAGAGAATCATCTCTTCCACACACTGGTCATGGTACCAGTGCACATGCACACACAAATACATAAAGGTCTAAATATGTAAATAAATAAGTGTAACTAAAAAAATAAAATAGGCCTGGAGAAATGGCTCAGAGGCTAAGAGCACTGGCTGCTCTTCCAGAGGTCCTGAGTTCAATTCCCAGCAACCACATGGTGGCTCACAACCATCTGTAATGAGATCTGGTGCCCTCTTCTAGCCCATAGGCAAACACGTAGGCAGATCAGTGTATACATAATAAATAAATAAAAATATTAAAAAATAAAATAAAATAGCCAATGCAAGCTTTTACCTGCTAATAGAACGGTGCCCTTGAATATTGCCTTTGGAAAGCAGGCGCTGTAGGACACCTCCCAGAAGGGACTGGCCTATCACCATGAGTCCAGGACAGAGCTGGTCACCAAGTGTCTGTCATGGCTCTGTTTACCAAAGGGCAGCCCACAGATGTCTGCTGCACACTCTGAAATGCACTTAAAAAAAATGTGGATGATGATGAGTGCCTGATATCCTGGCAATCAGGACATAAAGGCAGAACGATCAAGAGTTTCTGTGGTTTTGTTGTTGTGACTGTGACCCTTGTTGATCTGAGACAAGGATGAATGAAAGATGTAGCCCCAGTTGGCCTTGGCTTACCCTGATCCTCCTGCCCCTCCCCCCGGCCCCCACACCTCCTGAGCCTGGGATGGATGATAGCCGTGCACCACTACACCCGGCAAGGATTGAGAGTTTGAGGCCAATCTGGTCTAAATGGGGAGAGCCCATTAAAGTAATATAGCAATAATGACAATAATAATCCAGGCATTGGTGGCGCACACCTTTAATCCCAGCACTCGGGAGGCAGAGGCAGTTGGATATCTGAGTTCGAGGCCAGCCAAGGCTACACAGAGAAACCCTGTCTCAAAAAACTAACAAAACTATACGACTACTACTACTACTACTAAAATACTAATCATAAGCAAGATGTCTTGGAACCTGAAGGGGACTGCAGCCAAGCCTGGGGACCTGAGTTTGACTCTCAGGCCCACATGGTGGAAAGAGAAAGCAGACTCCCACGAACCGTCTTCTCGCCTCGACACGTGCACTGAGGCATGTGCATGCCCACACACGTACACATGCAAAGTAAATAAATAAAGGCATGGTTTGTTTTTGGTTTTTTTTAAGGTTGTTCTGATGCTAGACAGACGTGCGCGTGCTCAAGCAAATTCAAGACAATAATGAGGGAATCTGAGTGGTGAAATCACAACTGTCTGTTGTAAAATTCTTTTCTTTTCTTTTTTTTTTTTTTTGTCTAAAACATTTTCAGAATGTTTCAGATGTTATGAAACGAAAATACTCCTTTAAAAAAAAAATGAAGACAGGGTCTCACTCTGTAGACCAGGCTAGTCTCAAACTCACAGATATCTGCCTGCCTCAGCCTCTGGAATGCTGGGATTAAAGGCCTGAGTTAACTCTTCAAAATAGGAGAGGGAAAGGTCAGTAAATGGGAAGCATGTGGGGTATCACCTTTATTGTGCAAACGTAGGGCTCCTCTGTGCCTGAGGATGTCTTTTTCTTTTCGTGGTGTGTGTGTGTGTGTGTTTTAAAAAGCTCGCACTTTAAGGGGATGTTCCCTGCTGGCAAGCACTCTGTGACTTAAATTGCAACCTGGCCTTGGCTTTTCATGGTCTAACATTTGCCCAGCAAAAACAGATTCCCCAGGGCAATCCCCCTGGATTTTTGTTTTTGTTTTTTCTTTTTGGTTTTTTGAGACAGGGTTTCTCTGTGGCTTTGGAGGATGTCCTGGAACTAGCTCTTGTAGACCAGGCTGGTCTCAAACTCACAGAAATCTGCTTGCCTCTGCCTCCGGAGTGCTGGGATTAAAGGCGTGCGCCACCAACGCCCAGCCGCAATCCCCCTGTCTAAGTCTTGGTCCAGTGGCGGAATTGGGAAACTGGAAGCAGGCTGCAGTCTTTGCCTGTAGACACTGGAGGAGGAAGTCCTTACAGCCTGCAGCTTCCAGGAAGCTGCAGCTCTCCTAGGGCTCTGGACCTCAGGAAATGCGAGGCAGCATTCTATGTGGGCTTCAGCAGTGCCCAGATGCAGGCCTGTTGCTTCTGGTGAGTGACCGACAGTGTGCCCTTGCCCCGTGGAGTCTCCGTGCACCCAACAGGGGTAATACAGACGTCTGTGCCAGGCTGTGAGACAAATTGGCACAAGGAGGCTTTTGCGCAGCCTCTGTGGTTGGCACTTGCTGGCCACTTCTGTCACCCCTGTGCCTGAGCCGTTCCTGAACAGTGGGCCTTCTGTGTCCCGACCCATGGCGCTGAAGAGGCTCTCCCAGCTGAGTGTCCATCTTCCTCTCTCCCTCAGAAACCCTTCTACTTGTCCAGTCTTCTCTACTGCCTCACCCTCTCCAGCCCGTTGGGAGAGAGTTTGCAGCTCCAAGGCTGTTTCTTTCCCTCCACTAACTGCCCAAGTGTTTTCTAACTGTGCAAGCCTCCACGAGACTCCTTCGTACCTGGGGATAATAACAGAACTTTTACCTAATTGAGCGGTTGGAGGATTCGATGAGATCATGCCTGGAAAGCACCCAGCTTGTCTATTGCACAACGGACACAAGCTGCCATTGTTTCTTTCTGGGTACCACACACCCCACCAGCGGTTGCTCCCCTGCCCAGCTGCCTTTCCCAGCTCTGAGCATAAACAGTGCATGTTAGCCAAGTGTGTGGCTGGCTCCCGTCTGGGAACTGCCCTCTTCAAGCCAATCAGGCTGAACTCTCCAGCACTTTCCATCCATATGGCAATTCCCAGCTCCTTCTGCCAAGTGAGACAGTGCAAGCCCCCCCACACACACACCAACCCTGGCCGTCCCTCTCTAGGGAGCACAGTGAACCATGATGAGAAAGGCCAGTGTGTTCGTGTTTATTCACAAAGCTCAAAGCAGTCCCTTTAAGGACACCCAGAAATCTCCCACCACCGCCAGCTCCTCCAGGCCGTTTCAGCGGGGCATCAGTTTAGGGCATGATGGCGGCGATACTCTGGAAGAGAGGAGAGGAGGCGTTAAATACAGGCGCGTGGCCACAAGATTCAGGCTCCTGTTCCACTCTGGAGAAATGGTGAGAACAGAAGCTGTTTGTCTTGGAATAATGGGGAGAGCTGGGGAAGGCACTCCTGTGCCTTTCACCTCAGATGATCTGCGGTCACTCCGAGTTAGGGCTGTCACACACTCTGAGCCCTGGGCCCTAAGCTCGGGAAACAGGTCATAGCAGTTTCTGTTCAATCTTGAAGAACAGAGAGAGTCTGGATCCCAGCATCCACATTAGGCAGCTCACAAACACCTGTAACTCCAGCTCTAAGGGATCCAACACACACACACACACACACACACACACACACACACACACAATTTCAAATGTTTTGTTTTTTTTTTTTTTTCAAGAAAGACAAAGCAAGACTATGGACTAGAATAAGGACCAGAATCCCACAACAACCTTTATGCTCTCGGCCTGGAAGGGAGCTAGCTACCTGCCAAGCCAAATTACCACTACTCCGCTCACGCACGCAAAGCAGCAGGGCAGGGTAGCAGAGGCACCCACAGGCGGGCCAGCGAGAAGCAGAGGCAGATGGGGAGCCCTGATGGACACTTGAGGGAGAGTTTCAGCATTCCCCACCCTCCCTGGCTCCCAGATGCTCCAGTGCCCTGGAGGTGATTTCTGTCAGGTTATGTTTGTTCACGGCGACTGGAAAGTACCCAGAGCTGCAAGGGGGTGACGAAAGGCCAGAACAGATCAAGAACAGGTTGGATGGTCTCTAGAGAGGCTGGGTCTGTCCTCAGGGATGCTGACTGCCAGAAGACTATAGGAAGGGAGGTCCAGGTTGAAGGGCGGGGTGGGGTGTGGGAGTCATACGGACACTCACCCTCCACAGAGCTGGGAAGTTGATAAATGGCTTGTTGACCGAGGCCTGGAATTCAACGACAAAGCCAGTCACCCACCTTCAATCACCCAGTGTCACTGGGAGAACCTCCAGGAGCCTCCACTCCCCTCGCCCAGCTGCAAGCCCGCGTTACACCCAGAGACTCACCCCAGATACTACTGTAGTGGTTGCGGCCCCTGCCCCTCCGTGCTGGCCTGTGTACCCGCCTTGATGAGCGCCCTAAAGACAAAGGCCAGATCGTCACTTACCCCCCCCCCTTGACCTGGGAGGGTCTCCCTCATTCCTCTTCCCCGGGAACCCACCCTCCTCTAAGATGCCTAGGTCTGGAGTGGGAGCCCAGGCTGACCTGGGTTCCTCACTCACTGTCCTGAAAGACAACCCGGAGCCCCACCTGGGAGAGTTGGACGGGACTCCAGGAAGGAGGCCTTGTTGATTGGCCTCACCCAAGCTCTCCTGAAATCTGGTGTGAGGGAAATGTTTCCCTCTTGGAGAAGGAAGACTCAGGCGACCCCCACCGTTCACCCTCAGCCCTGATTTTAATCACGTTTCCACACAGTCTAGCCTCAAGCCCAGCACCTCTCCTCCCCCACTCTTGAGCACAGTGTCCCTCCCCAGTGGCACCCCACCCTCAACTGTTCTGTCAGGCCCTTCCCCCAGCCTCTGCTTGGGGGGTCTCACTCAGGGTCTTGTTCGTCACCAAGACTCTCTCTAGTCCCCTCCTCCCCACGCAGCCCTCCATGGCTCCCTCCAAACAGATGAGCCTCTGGGCTCCTCAGGATGGTAACCCAGCTTGCTGAGCTCGGTGACTGCTTATGGAGTGTGGAGAACTGGAAACTGGGCCAGGCGGGAGTCAGCCTGCTACTGCTCCCCCGGTCCTCCTTGGGGCCTGCTCTGTTGCTGCTTGCCTGGCCTCCAGCATCTGTTCCCTCTAGAAATACGGGGAAGAGCTCCCCCAGAAGCTCCCCTGCTACCCAAACAGGGAGGCAAAGGAAGAGAACTTCGTCTCAGCCACTGGGCACTTGTCACGTGACCTTGGTGAGCCTCCTTAGCCTCTCTGAGCCTTAGTTTCCTTATCTGAATGTCATATTGTCATCACCCTCAACCTGACCAGCCCAGAGCCTAGTTATGAGGACAGAACACAACAGAGTCTGTTGCCAGAGTGTCCCCTCATGTTCTGGGGTTTCTCAGCCTCCACCTGTTTGTACAGTGTCTGAGCTCAGAATCATCCCTACTTCCAGGAGAGGGGACAGGTTAGGGTCCCTCATCTAGGAGGACAGCTCCCTGATAATGGGACTAGGTCCCTTCCACCTTGTCTCAGGTGAAGCTTTGCAAACAAGATGGTTAAGCCCGTCTAACCAGCTGGCCACCAGCTCTGTAGCAATGGAGGTAGAAGGAAGGGAACCCAGGGTTATGGCTTCCCAAGGATTTAGCCTCTTCCCTCCCACAACCCCCTTCTCCCCAGTTTCCCCACCTCTGTTCACCTACATTCATCAGCTGGTTGGCCTCCTTGCTGGCTTGGTTGACCCCGTTATGAGCATCTTGCTGCAACCTGTTCATTTCCTTCCCGGCCTGGCCAGCAGCATGGTGGACACCTTGGCCAAGCTTCTCCACTTCCTTCTCGGCCTGGCCAGCAGCATAGTTGACCCTTTGGCCAACTTTCTCTGCCTCCTTCTCGGCCTGGTTGACCCCAGTGTAGACCCCTTGGGCCACTTTCTCTGTCTCCTTACTGGCCTGATTGACTCCCGTGTGGACCCCTTGGGCCACTTTCTCTGTCTCCTTCTGGGCTTGGTTGACCCCGGTGTGGACCCCTTGGGCCACTTTCTCTGTCTCTTTCTGGGCTTGGTTGACCCCGGTGTGGACCCCCTGGACCGCTTTCTCTGTCTCCTTTCCAGCCTGGTCAACGGTATGGTGGACACCCTGACCGAATTTCTCCAATTCCTTCCCAGCCTGGTTGACTCCAGGATACATGACTTTGTCTCCCTCTTGCCAAGGCTGCCCTGCAGCATAATAACTATGACCATGGCCATGGCCATGGCCAAACTGCTGTGCCTCCATTGCAGCGTGGCTAAGTCCCTGATTGGCCCCTTGCACCACTTTTCCTCCTTCCTTCCCTGCAGCATAATAACTATGACCATGGCCATGGCCATGGCCAAACTGCTGTGCCTCCATTGCAGCGTGGCTAAGTCCCTGATTGGCCCCTTGCACCACTTTTCCTCCTTCCTTCTCAGCCTGACCAAAGGCATTGTGAACCCCTTGACCAAATTTCTCTCCTTCCTTCGAAGGCTGACCAAACGCATGGTGACCATCTTGACCAAATTTCTCTGCCTGTCTCCCAGGCTGACCAAAGGCATTGTGAGCCCCATGACCTAACTTCTCTGTCTGCTTCCCACCCTGATCAAGAGCATGGTGGGCCCCTTGACCAAACTTCCCTACTTCCTTCTCAGCCTGGCCAAAGGCATTGTGAGCCCCATGACCTAACTTCTCTGTCTGCTTCCCACCCTGATCAAGAGCATGGTGGGCCCCTTGACCAAACTTCCCTACTTCCTTCTCAGCCTGGCCAAAGGCATTGTGAGCCCCATGACCTAACTTCTCTGTCTGCTTACCACCCTGACCAAGAGCATGGTGGGCCCCTTGACCAAACTTCTCAGCATCTTTCCAACCATGACCAAAAGCATTGTGGCCCCCCTGTCCCAGCCTCCCAGCCTCGTTTCCAGCCTGCCCCGCGGCATGGTGGGCCCCCTGAGCAAACCTCCCTGCTTCACTGCCCGCCTGGTTGACCCCGTGGTGGACCCCATGATGGATGAGTGTGTCTTTCTCCTTCCCAACCTGTCCAGCGGCGTGGTTGACCCCGTGGATTAACTTCTCTGTTTCCTTTTCTGTGTGTCCGACGCCACTGTTGATGCCATGGGCTACCTTGTCCAACTCCTTGCCGGCCTGGCTCCCCATGTTGCTAAGTCCATCAAAAACCCTCTCCACTTCCCTTCCGGCTTGGGTGATTCCATTATTGATGCCTTCGAGGGCCTTGCCCACCTCTCTCTCTGCATTGCTCAGCCCGCGGCTGAACCCTTCTATGACCTTCTCGATGGGGTCATCATGGGCTGCCCATGCGGGCAGAGCCCCCAGGAGCAGCAGAAGGCAGCAGGACCTGAGCGAAACTGTGGGATGCATGCTGTTGGGAAGGCAGGGACGAGAGAGGAGCCGAGGGAGCTAGGCCGCTATTTATCCTCCCTTTCTCCACCCCCATGACTCAATTGCCCCTGTGAGGCTGTGACTTCGTTCCCAGTCAGGGAGGTGTTTCCCAAAGACATCTGGAGTTGAGCAATGAGGAGGAGGAGGAGGAAGACAGGATGAGTCACAGAAGAGATCCTAGCATCTTTGCTCTTTGACCAGCTCAGGCCCTCCGCCTCAGCATAGCGTTCTGCCCTGCCCAGCACCCTCCTGTTTTCCTGTCTCTCCCACCGGCATCCTCCTTGCTCTTGAGCCCCCACGGAACCACCCTGGCAGCCCTCTTAGAGATCTAAATGTGCCAGTCGCCCAGCTGAACAATGCTGGAAAAGTGGAAAGCAGCCACGGAGGAGGAGAGAACCTCAGGAGCTGAGGAAGTTACCTAATTTTGTTCTTGGGTGGGGGGTGGGGGGTCCCTTTGCTACCCCTCTCTCTGCTCCAGTTACACGGCACTTGTGCCAGCTCCTCGAGTACCCCTCCCATTACTGCCTGAAGGCTTTGCACGTGCCTTGTTGGCTCCACTCTTTCTGCACCTGGCTCCAATGGCCTGCATCACAGAAGGCCCTTCACGATCATCCCCAGGCACACTGTGGTATTACAGGTATGATGATTATGCTGTGACGTCATCCTGCTGTTTCTAGAGTACTTATCGCAATCTTAAACTTCATTTAGCTTTTAAGGGTGTGTCTCACCTTCTAGGTTGTACACTTGCAGCCATCAGGCCCTTTGTGCTGGGTACTGGTATAACCCCCAACTTAGGGGACATTAGCTGGGGTGCAGTAAGTATTCATAGATGGAACACATGGGTGGGTTAGAAGCCAAGGGAATTGTCCAAGCCTGAGCCCATCTCACCGGGTGCTGGAGGGAAAGGGTGTCTGGGTCCTCAAAGCTGTGTGGGGTCTCTTGGGGGAGGGGCTGCAGATTTTGGGAGCCAGGATCACATACATGCTCATGACAGGATCCTGGCCTCTTTCCTCCCAGCCCTCGGGCAAGGGCAGGGGGGCTGATTGTCATTTGTCATGCGCTGGGAGAGGACGCAGAGATACCTGAAAAGCCGGTTGAAGCAGGCCTGGGGAGAGGCTCGGAGACCTGGTG